TTATGGTAGAGTGTTCTCTACTCTTGGTAATGACCCAACTATCACTCGAGTGCTTGGAGCCAGCTCTCAGTAGCCAGTTTCACTCATTCTTCTGTCTTTTGTAGTTTCCAAACCATTCTCTCTGTCTAAAACTACTACGTTTTTTCCAGTGATTAGTAGAAAAATATTTTGGTAATTAGCAGTAACTGTGTATTGGAGTATTTACTCATCTTAATAGATCCCCTTCCCCCTGCCCCAAGCTGTAGGTGAAAGACATTCACAAACAAGTTTTCATTCATGTTGCAATCATGACAGGAATGTTATTTATTCCATACATTTGTATACAGCAGCACATGAAGCATGTGGGTGTACTAAATATCATCAGACTTCAGTTACTTTTATCTACTTGAGAAGAATGGGTAGCACACCACTTTTAGAAATACATTGGTCTTCCACCTCTTTCTAAAACTTTTTTTACTTCAGGAGGGAAGGATGTGAACATATTCAATTTTAAGCTTCCACAAGGAAATTAAATCTGTAGCCACTTTTAACAATTTTAAAAAGGCTCATTAAATTTTCCTAGTTTTTATTTTTCAATAGCATCTTTCAGTGATAGTGGAATGACGATTTGTTTTTGTTTTTGGTTTTTTTTAATGTTTTCAGTGCCATTTTCAATTGCTCAGGGAGTAAATACTCTTTGGTAGTTAGAGAGCTTAGTCTATGCATTCATGTGTTTTGTTCTTGTTAATAGTGCACATAATCCCCTTGAGGACTTTCTGAAAAAATTAATATAGATACTACCAATAATACATCTGTATATCGGATACAGATTTACATAATGTATATACTAATATATATAATATATTTATTAGACTATATATAGCATAGTGTATATATAGGTAAAGACCATGTTATAGATAGCATTTGAACATAGACAGCCTTAATTCTATTAGTTCTGATTTTTATGTGCTTGAGTTGGCAAACTTAAATTAATGCCATTTTAATGTGTGCCTTTTTGTATGTATTTGCAATCAGAAAATGAATAGTCAAATTCAAAATCTTCAGCTCCATTACAGACACTGGTGAGGATGTGCTTTTTAATTCGTACAGACTTTTCTGCAGGTTTGGCTCTGTATGCTTTTGCCTTCAGATTGTCCTAACACGGTCACCTTACATTAACGTCCCTAGCAGTTTCTTTTACTTTTCTTTTCTTAAAGTAGCTAATCTAGTGTAGCTCTACTGTAGCTATCTCCCAAATTTTTCTTTCTTATGCAGGTTCCAGTTTCTTTCCTGTTCCATTTCCATTCTTCTCTATTCCCTAGTCTTTTGTTCCTGACATCTCTTCTGTAAATAACTTGCTGGATGCCATCTTTCTGTATTGGATTTTGCTTCAGTAAGGTAGTTTCTTTTTCATGTTGTCAGAGGAATAAGATGAGGCATTATGAATACAGGAGAAAGAGCTTTCCCTTTAGCACATGTAGAGGCAGGAGATAGCTGTAGCCTCTGGATTTTACTCAATGCATAGATTTTCAATAATTTTGTGCTTTCATAATTGTTACTGTAATTTTTTACCCTCCTCCCATTGCACAATCCCTCCCACATGTAGTGTGGCCAGATGCCTTACATTTTCACAGGAATACTAAAAGGATATAAAAGGTCTTGGTTTGCCAAGTTTTAAGTCTCGTCTCCAAAAAGTAGTATTTTCCAGCAGTGTGCAGCTTTAGGCAGACACCCAGCAAAGAAAATTTCAGCCTACATGATTGAAGTGTGATAGGATTAAAGATGAGAGGATGGTTTTGTCAGGAGTAAGATGAGGTAATCTTAGAGCAGACAAATCTAAGTCACTTAGATTTGAAGGTAGCCCAACAGATTCCTTAGAGCTACAGCTGAGCAATTAAGAAAAATAGCCTGTTAACCCTAGCTTCACCATCATCATGATCATAATACGGACTTCTATATCCCTGAAGATGGGGGTTTCTTTAATCTCGTGAGTAATACTTGGACCCAGCTACAAGCCTGGTTAAGCATCCTAAGCAGCTCTACTTCATCATGCTCCCCAACTTCCTGTCATCTGCTTCTGTCCTCCTTCTTCCTCTTCCAGCTGTTGTGTTCAGCTCCCTCTTCCTGTGTTCATCCTGCTTTATCTCTTTCCTCTAAACGTTGAGGGTGGCTCTCATCCTATCCGAGACCTAGCTGAGTTTATAAAAGCAGTGAGCTTGGGTTACTGTTTCTCTTTTGAGTCTCCACAGTATATGCGGGTTTGTTAAATGTAGTCATCTCCTTGACCTGTGAGGAGAGTGACTTACATAATAATATATGGATGTATGGTGAATATAGAGATCTGTGGAATACACACCTGTGTAGTGCAATATATACTTAATTCATCTTTCATTTTTATACATGTGTCTGTCAAGCTTCTGAGGTATTCTGCTAAGCTGCATAAAAAAATCTTGTTGACAGACATATCCACTTCTTTGCTCTTTCAAATAAAAAAATTGTAGTATGCATGAAAGTTCTTAAATCAAGTCATCCTCATGAAGACCCCCCTAATATCAGTTCTTTCATGCCTGTGTTAAGGGTGGTCCAGTACAAGTAAGTCTGTTAATATTTGCTGTGGCTTTATATCACAGAATCACAGAATGATGTTGGAAGGGACCTCTGGAGATCGTCTAGTCCAACCCCCCTGCCAGAGCAGGTCCACCTAGAGCAGGTTGCACAGGAAGGTGTCCAGGTGGGTTTTGAATGTCTCTAGAGACAGAGACTCCACCACCTCTCTGGGCAGCCTGTTCCGGTGCTCTGCCACCCTCAAAGTAAAGAAGTTCCTCCTCATGTTTAGATGGAAGTTCCTATGTTCAAGTTTGTGCCTGTTACCTCTTGTTTTGTCGCTGGGCATCACTGAAAAAGGACTGTCCACATCCTCTTGACACCCACCTTTTAAGTATTTATAGGCATTGATCAGAAACCCCCGTCAGTCTTCTCCAGACTAAAAAGACCCAAGTCCCTCAGCCATTCCTCATAAGAGAGATGTTCTAGTCCCCTAATCATCTTTGTAGCCCTTTGCTGTACCCTCTCCAGCATTTGCCTGTTCTTCTTGAACTGGGGAGCCCAGAACTGGACACAGTACTCCAGATAGAGCCTCACCAGGGCAGAGTATAGGGGGAGGATGACCTCTGTCGACCTGCTGGCCACACTCTTCCTGATGCACCCCACAGAGGCCATTAGATAATCGTGTCCCAGACTGTTTAGGTATTCAGGCATACAAATCAATGCCTTGAGCTAAGGATTTAAGCTCATTGTGAGCTAGCATTTTGCATAATAAATAAAGGCATAAGAGAGAAAGCAAAAGCAAGGTAGAGGATACTTATGTGTGGCAGGTGTTTAGAAATTTGCTGGGTCTGATACAGTTCCTTACAGAATATTTAAAACACATTCCTGTAAAATTGTGGATGATAGTTGAGGTTTCATGATGCTGAGTTTGTGAAGAAAAAGTACATCAAGCCAATATAATTTATTTCTGTGAAACTATAGGATGCCTTGTGAAGTGGTACGTCATATAACATGACTATTGTGAGGCATTGACATAAACTGGAATAAATAAAATGTAATTCCCCAAGAATAAGTGCAAGGTTTTATGCTACAGAATAGTCAACTACATCAGTAAAAGGTGTGGGTCAACTGCTAGATAGTAGCTCTACCAAAAGGAAGTTATAGTGGATCGTAAATGAACAGCAGTTGTGTCGCCATATTCATTATTGACTGATTTGTGAACCTGATAAATCACTTTAGATCACACATTTGATCTGGATCAACTTTGAACAAGTGATAGCATTCCAGAACATGAAATGTGAGGTTTGTTTTTATTCTGTGGTAGCTGCAGGAAATTCAGTTACACTTCTGATAAGAGTAACTTTACCTTCATAAAAATATTTAAATATGTTTGAATGAATTAAAGGATTCTAGTAGGTCAGTGTTTTGCATATATAATGTTTAGTGCAGTATGCTATATCATAAAATCTAATCCACAAGTCTTATTGAACCATTGCCTGAATTGCCCATGTCGTGGTCTTGTGACAAAGGAGTAATAGGCAGTCTACTCCATGTTTGTGTGACAAGGAAGATCTTGGATCTGAAAGCACAACCTGTGAGGACAGATTGGTTGAATTGATTGAGGCCAGAGAAGACTGAAGAGAGATAAAATAATGTTCAAATGTCTAAAAGGGATAGCTGCTGAAAAGATAAAATAAACTAGTCAATAGGGCAGGAAACAATATGCTTAAATTATAGGAACAGTTGCATTAAGTGCTGGGAAAAATCTTCCAACTATAAAAATAATTAATTTCCTTATAGTTGGATGGAATAGTTTGCTTATAGTGGTTTTGAAATAACTACTTTTAGGGAATTGTAGAAAGAGTTTAGAGAAATACTTGTGAGAAATAGTGTAGGTAGACCTGATTCTGGCCTGGGCACAAAGAGGACTAGATGATTTCCTGGGACGGCCCCACTGGAAATGTGTGTGTGGTTATTCTATATTTAATAATTAGACTAGTTTCAACATCTGAATTTTCTCAGATAGGGTATTTTACAGTAAATCTAATCCTGAGTGACAGTAGTGTGGGTAGTTGTGGCATGGTTACTGCTGAAGGGAAAATGTCATTCCTCCTGCCAGGTACAGATGGAAAAAATGTGCCTGTGGCTACTGCTGTTACCTTGGCATACTAGAGCAATCCCGGATCTAATACTCTTCTTACCCTCATAACACAGACCTAGTTTGCAAATGGAGATCATACTCTTTATGTGGGTGACAGTGCAAGTTCCTTCAATTCCTCTGACTGCATTCTTCACCTTATGATTATTACCTGCTACCTTTTGTTCACGCCCATAGTTATATTGCAATTCTGTATTGCCTTGTATGTGCTGGATAGGTATACATAAAGTATATGTATTTTATTGAAGTAATTTTATTTGCTGTTCACCCATTAACTGACAATGTATAAAAGAGGCAATGTTATATATTTCTCTAGAATGTCAGCTAATGAAAACAGAGCGACCAAAGCCAAACACATTCATTATCAGATGTCTTCAGTGGACCACTGTCATAGAGAGGACATTCCACGTAGACACTCCGGAGGAACGGTGAGGGGTTTATTTTCGTTTTGCTTTCTGTGTTCTTTATGCAGAAGCCTCAGCACAGTCTCTGCTGGGACCACACAGTGATCATCACTTGGAACTGTGACATTCTGAGCACATCTGAGCTGTTATTTGAAGAATTTATAAGTCAGCTTCTGTAAAATATTATCTAAGCTCATAGCTAGTGTAAGAGTTGCCTGCGAGTAGGTGGGATGAGTATGTTCAAATAAGCCAAAACTATGTCATGATATGTCTCTGAAGTGTTAAAATTTTGAACAATAGAAGCCTGCACTGAAGTGTTTTCCAGCTTCGCTGTCTTAAATTTTCCTTTTATTCCTCCTAATATACTCCCTTTTTTGGCACAGAAAGCAGCAATTTTGATATAATTTATTTTATATTTGCTTATTAATTTTTCTTGTTTCAGTAAACATACACAAACTCTTAAGAATTAACTTTTTTAATACACCACAAGCATTTAGGAGATATGGGATGCTCAGATGTTCAGTATGTGTCTCTCATTAGATGAACTGAGTCTTCCCACTGCGGGCATCTGTCCTTTTGAGACTAATATTATGATTTGGCTTTATTCATCAATAAATTATGTATCAATAAATAACCAAGGACTTTGAGTTTTCATTTTTTTTTTTCTCTTTCAGCTGTATATTCACATAGATTTTTTTTTTTTTTTTTTTTTTTTTTTTTTTTTTTTTTTTTTCTAACTAAAAAAAAAAAAAAAAAAAAAAAAAAAAAAAAAAAAAAAAAAAAGTTCTAGGAAAAATATTAAACCC